ATGGCGCAGGACGCTCGCCGCATCGTAGATGCGAAGCGAAAGGCCGACCTCGCAAACACGATCCAGCTCAAAATATTTTACGACACCGGCCACAGAAAGCTACTGCGTGTCTCGAAGCACGCTACGCTCGCCGACGTGACGGTTCGGGCCGTCGCGCGTTTTGAGCTGCGTATCGCGATGGACTGTGCCCGACTACGGGCCTACTCCGAGTCCATGGCGTAGCCGCGGGAGACGTACGACGGACGCGAACACTGCTCGCTGGTCGAGCTGTCGATCGACTCGGTATGCAGCTTGTATCTCGAGGTCCGACCGATCACCGATCAAGCGTGGACGGTATATGACCCTACGGCTTTGACACTGCTCGTGCGTCGATACGTCCCGTCAACGGATGCGATGCCCGAGCACTTTACAGAGCCGCCCGAGCTTGTGCAGCTCCCGAGTGACGTGCGACTCGTCGACTTGCTCTCGCTGCTCAGCGCCAAGCTCAGAATGGATCGCAACCAAATGCGGCTGCTGACGATGCGCACGTCGGGCTACTGGTCCATTTCGACGACGGTTCTCAACCCGACCAACGACGCGACGACGCTGCAGCAGACGCTTTGCGGCAATTTGATGTTTCGTGATGGCTACAGCATCTACGTCGAAGCCGTCGACGCGCTGGCGTCATCGCCGTCGCTGGCCAAGGAGCTCTTTGTAGCCCGCGCCCATTCGATCACCCTTCAAGTCAAGACGACGGAGCCAACTCTCCTACGCGCCAAGAACGCCGAAGGTGACGCGATGGGCTGGTCGTTCACCGTCGACCGCCGACAACCGCTTCAGGAGCTCAAGGATCAAATCTGCACGTTTTTCGAGCTGCGACCCGAGACCTTCAAGCTACGTCGCTCCAGAGAAACAGGGGTCGAGTTGAAGCACCTTGCTGTGTCGTTCAAGAACTTGACCCTCTTGAACCAATCGACGGTGTGGGTCGAGGGAGGGGCTCCGCTGCGTGCTGGCGAGTTCAAAGTCAACGTCCACCTCCACACGTCCAGACATATTGAGACGACGACCGTGCTGCTACCATTGCACCACGTCGACGAGCTTGCATTCTGCGCTACACTTGTCGTCTCCTCTACAACACTTGTGAGCGAGGTGAAGGCCAGCATCCTCGCCGTTCTTCAGCGCACACACCATTGCGCCAAGCACCTCCGGCTCCGCG